CTGCTCTTTCTTTGACAACATGCGCCTGCTGACATGGAGGAAGTGCGCCTTGAACGCGTGCCATAATTCGGTATCAGCATCTGTATGGCCGTACGCAAAAGGTCGGGGAAAGTACGGATCGTTGCGCCAGAACGCATGGACTGCTTGCGCGATGCCAGTTGCGTCTTGAGCCATAAGACGTACGCAGTCGTAGTCTAGCATCCAGATGACGAGGTCTTCATCCAGCAGCTTGAACATTTGTGTTGGCGTGTCGCCGCTGATAGATGATGTAGCCGGGGCAAGCACAAACTCAACATCGTTCGCATCGACTTCAGCCTTCCAGTAATAATGCGCGAGCGCCTCAGCCAGAGTCTTCGCAATGACAACAGGATTCATACCCAGCTCTTCCATCTGATCAACGCAAAGACCATAGTTGCGCAGATTAAAGAACATGCCAGGCGGGCGACCTTCTGGTCTCCGTTTGCCCGTGTACACCCGAATAAGGCAATCTTCATTCTTCTTACTCGTCCTCGTAGCTTCCTTCAACGCCTCACGACAATATCTGTCGATGAGCATCTCGCGAATAGGCAGTCCTACAGCGGGTATCCTCTCCTGCGTGTAGCTCCTACTCACCTCTTCACCCTCAGGAAAACAGGTGAAATTGTTATCCCACCAGAAACTATCAGCCTCCAAGACCTCGTAAGACTTCGGTATGCGCACAGGTAGCGTGTGTTTTTCGTCTGCTGCGATAACTCGTCGATGCATGTTGTGGTCGTTCAAGACGGAGCGGTTTGTATGCATGTGTTCGCGTTTGATGACCCAGGGGTCGACTCCGCGGATCCAGATGCTGCCGCAGCATCCTCGGCCTATTTCGCGGAAGGGGCCTCTAGGGTTGGGTCTTGTGTTCATGTTTGTCGGTGTGTGTGGTTGAATTGTGGAGGTGCGTGGATGGTGGGATTTATACTCGTCTTTGACTCATACAGATGCTGTGTGGGCGTACCCGTAATATTGGAGTTGGGTACCCATTCCATGGTTCACGATGGGTTGTAGACGAATTACGAGCCACGTGATACCAATCCTTGGGCGAAAGCTGGTGCGACTGCTGCGTCTCGTCCACAGCGAGCCGTATCCGGTAGGCTCAGTGTAGCGCGTAGGCGAGCATGGCGTCGTTGAAGGGTTGTGTTGTCGTGGTTTGTCCTACGAGAGGCGCATGGCATGAACCACGGTCGAGGTTGCGGTAGCTCCTGCCTTGGAGCCAAACAAGCGTCAGGGTCATCAGGGTCTCGACAAAGGCAGGAACAAAACTCTGCAACTCGCTCCGAGATGTTTCACCTCCCACGCTCACCATCTTCGTTCTCACCTAGTCGCATTGTTTCCATCTTCGTTTTTGTAGCCAGATCGTTCGAGTGGACACCTCAGAACGTCTCGAATGGCACTAGAACACGCGCCCTTGGTTTACTGGCAGAATGGTACCAGTCGCATTCATGCACCGTCCTGCTTGCATCGACCTTCGGTCGCATGTCGATAAGGGATCTGTTCTTAGCTGCTACAAGTACGACCGAACAGGCTACCACGATCGTCAAAAGGAAGTACACTCTTGACTCTTTATCAATGCGAGCACCTGCGCTTTCACGAGAACGACAACCCGCGACTGTTGAACCCTTGGCTGAACTCTCATACTCGCCGGCATCCAGGGGCTCCGCGGGGTCGAGGAGATTTGATGCCTCAGGTCTTGTTGTTTCCGAAACATGATTATGCCGTCACGTCGAGGATCTCAATCTCACCCATCGCGACTTCGAAGGGTCCGTCGCCGCCGCGAACGTGGCATCGAACTAGAGGAACGACAGTGGGATTGTTTGTCCTAGGCTCAGCCACTTGGATGCCAGTCGTCGCGTCCGCCCAGGAGCACAACTTGGCGCAGTCACGCTACGCCTTCGGATGGCCACGATTCCGGCGTTAGGCAAAAGCAAAGAAAGGCACCAAGGACACCAGCACTGGCGTCGCGGCATGTGTCGAGCTCTGGCTTGGTGATTCGAAGCCATGTACGGCTTGCGACGGTGAGAAGCTGATGAAGTTCAGATTTCCTGCCCCCACCAGCAGCACCTGCATGGAGCTGACAGTTGCCGGCGACCAGCTGCAAGCCTATAATTAGGCTGATCCACAGCGGGCGCCAACCGCCCTACAGGGCCGCAATGATGAAAGCGATCGAAAGCAGACCGCATTGTCAAGCAAACCGCGCTCGCAAGTCATTGATCGCATCAACGGCAGCAGGGTAGCAGAAAAAGAAGATTACTCGTGCATCTTGGGTGTTTCTGACATCACATGCACGTGCATGACGCGTTTCGTCACGGCGATCTTGGGCTGACGACCCGGCCACGGCTCAGCGCCTGCAAACCTACTTACACAAGCAGGGGTACCGTCAGCAACGTCCTTATTACTACCCACCTTTGCCGTCGTGGCGCAGCTTCTTCTCTCAAATCGCATCCTCGAGCAATTGACGCAGAAACCTCACACTTACATCGGCCCTACTCGACACTGATCGCCCGCCATGAACATGATGCGCAAGAAGACGCAGTATGTGCAAATCACACCAATACCGTCGTTCATACCGCGCCAGCTCGCAATCGATTTCCTCCACAGCCACGGCGAGATCATCGAGCTGAACCCCCTCGTCACCGGCCACGAGCCCATCAAAGCACCGCGCGACGCTCCCGCAGACGAATACTACTCAACATGGTACGAAATATCGCAGCGCATACAATACATACCCGGCATTGGCAAGATGGGCAGCGGCGCAATCAAGTTCCGCGGTGTCTTCCACGACCTACCGTTCGGGCTTCAGACACACACCTACGCGCCTGCGAACGTCGACCTACGCCAGAAGTGGCATATTGGCGGCAACCAGATTGGCGAGCCACCTGAGCCGAAAGAGCTGGGCTCTTCTGCGCCACCGGAGGGCCTCTACATTCGCCAGGATGTAGAGATCAAATGCAACGTCGCCATGATGAACTTTGTCAAGAAGGAAATGAAGGCAGCTTGCACCATCATGATCGAGCGGTTGGTCAAGAAGGCGGAGCTGCTCGACTCGGGCGCACTCCAAGCGATGATGGAGAATGGACGGATGAAGACGGTCAACCCAGCTGATCGCTCAACTTACGGTCACACGCCACCACAACCATCGCCGACCCAACCCTACCAGATGCCCTTGTCGCCGCACAGGCAAAGCCAACAATGGGCGCAGCCCGCGCAGCAGCCCGGCCCGCCCGTACCACCTAAGCAGCTCCTAGGCACGAACGACGTGGTTATGGAGTTGCCAGGCGACTTCTACCACCCTCAGCCGTCTCCCTCCCACCTCTCCCCTCACGATAACCGCGCGTCCTCTGCCTCCGAGCCCTCGCAATACTCACCGAACCCGCAAGATGCGCGCTGGTCGACTGCATCGCATAGCACCGCGAGCTCCCGCCCTAGCTCGTATGCGCCATCAGAAGGTATGAAATCGCCAGGGCTAGAACAAAAAGCATTCGCGGCCGAGCTGCCAACGATGGAAGAGACAAAGGAGGAGCATAACAGCCATCAGAGGCGGCCGAGCGGTCAGCAGGGTCAGCAGGCGTATACATACAACCCGCAGGACTATGCGCGGGCGCCGGGGCAACAGCAGTATGCCAACCCGCCCTACCCGCTGTATGGGCCACGGTAATTGATGAACGTGTCACACTTTGGTGTTTTCTTGAACGTACACGCACAGTAATGTTTTTGAGAGTTTGGTGTCCGTAAGGCAGGGCGGCTGTTTGTCTACCTGTTATCACGATTTACGATTTTCTGCGGAAATGCTTTTCAGATATCCCCTTCCGTTAAGTAATGCAATCATATTATTTCTATGTCTACGAACTTGTCACCAAGGATCAACTGCTCAGTGCTGTGTAGCGTCTCGGTATCCAGGGTATCAAATCTTGACTAGACGCGAATCGCCAGAAAGTCCCCAGATACTGTTCGGTGCTGAACACATCCGCCATCTTCTCGGCATTTGTGATACTTCACTATACTTGCGTTGGGATTGGGATGGTGATTTGACTGAGGTGTATTACCTCGTGATTGAGATGTTGAATGACATTTCGTTCTAGTTCATATTCGACAGACAGTGCGCGGTGTCATATGGATATTGCCACAATTGGTTTCAACATGATCCATAAAGATCTGCATCTATGGCGCTGTAATATCTTTTTCCTGGCGTCCACACACACTCAGAAATACCCTTAAGATGACTGAGAATCCGACTTCGTCCCTGATACCCGCTGACTTCCTTCTGTTGACTCCCACTCTACACTACTTCAATTGCAGCTGTTTCAGTGTAGATACCGTTGGATAAAATCACACTATAATCCGACTTTACGTAAAGTACCTCGCAACGCCATCCCTATCTACTCTGCAGATTCCCTTACAATGATTACCAGCTATTATCAAAGGAGTGACCAGCGACCGAGAAAGTGCTACGACAAGCAACGGTGACTAATATCCAAAGACGGAATACATTGTAGACTCCCATTCGTCTGTTGAGAAGGCAGAAAACGACTGAGATAGCAGCGTAGATCGCAAGATAGGGTTTAACGTCTCTGTTTCTTTACAGTATGTTTCAATACGTAGCTTGCGTAAAGCTTGTGTCCTACAATACATGTGCCTGTCTTAGGCCGTAGGGTCGATCGTGTCACCCCTTCCAGCGCTTCGCAGTACATATCCACATCAACTGGCCTCAACAGCACCGAAGGATAGCTTGTATGTTTGTGATACAAAAACCATAATGGAATCAGCCTGACGTCACAACACAACAACAGACCCTCGCTACTACGCTACGTTACTACGCTGCGTGACTGCGTGACTGGCCCGTGCGTCAATACACGGTCACGTAGACTTGCTACCGCCCACCTGACAGAAACTCCACTTCATCCACAATAAACCCAGCTTGATACCTCTGAATTGATCTTGGCTAACCTGGCGTAACCACCTACACTGACTCTCGCAGAGACATGTCACGGCAACTCAACATGCGAGACCGCGCAGCAGCACAACCAGGTCCGTACGGTCCCAACAATCCTCCACCGCCTCCGTCCGAGCCCCCACCGCGTGGACCCAGAGAACAGGGAGACCGGGGTAGAGGTGTTGACGATGTCGATGGTGAGAAGATGCAAGGTCGACGCCGTCCGCAGCTAGCAGTCCGAAAACGAGATTACGCACGGGCGGAAGAGGAACTGCGAGTGAGACAGCGAGATCGTGATCGTAGTCGTTCGCCTGCCCGGCGTCAAGATCCACGCGATGAGCAAGATTGGCGTGGTGAGCGAGCCCGGTATCGAGAGCGGTCGCCGCTGCGTCGTGAGACCGTGGATGTGGAGCCGCAGCGAGAAGACCGGAAGCCGGAGAAGGCAGAGTACCAGAGGTGCTTTGCTTGTAATAAGAAAGGTTGGTTGTATACCTGCAGACTCTTAACTCTTCCTTGCTAAGACTATGAAGGGCATAGGGTTGCTGATTGCCCAGCTGCCTTCACCGATAAGAAGGGTTGTTTTCGGTGTGGAGAGCAAGGACATATAGCTCGTGCTTGCAAGGTCCGAGTTGGTCAGATCAAGACTGATGCTGAGGTTGCTGCCGATGAGGCGAAGGCTATGGCTGGTCGATACGGTGACCGCGACGACGATAGGCATTGGTCGCCCAGGCAGGATGCTGCCTTCCGAATCAGTCGCACGAGAGATATCAGCCGACTGGAAGCTCACATCCAGCAAGCGTACGGCCAAAGTCAAGATACGCAGCAACCTCATCAGGAGCACTTCAGTGAGGCGCCTTCGCGTTCAGAGTACTTCGCGGAGGACGAAGTCGACTGGGACGACGACGCTCTAGAGACGGCCCACGTTGCTCCCGCGGTGAGAATGAGTACCGGTCGGAAGATACCACAGCCTGAGTATCCGAGGCATGAGGAGCCGTACCGCCATTACGAAGGTCCAGAAGCGCATACTCCGACCGTCCAGCATGCGCCAATTCAGTCGGTGCACCGCAGATCCAGCCAAACGCCCAGTACAGCAAAGTCAGCCAAAGAGCCCAAGTTGGGCCTGCCGCACCTCCAAAACGCCGAGACAGCAGAGTTTCCACCGACCGTGCACGACCTCCGCGGCTACGATTACCGTATCTTCACCATGTACGCGAGCAAGCCCAAGGCTCAGCGCTTTATCAACGGTGCCAACGGCAAGATCGCACCAGGCATGTACGGCTCCGAGCAACGCCACGATCTGGGCCTTTGCTTCACCACGTACCTTACGAAGAAACGTTGTGAGATGGGAGTCAAGTGTCCCTGGCGCCATCACCCGCTTTCGAACACTGAGAAGGCTTGGATCATAAAGTATGGCAAACAGAAGGGAGAGGAGTTCATCGAAAACGTAGATCGGTGGTGGAACTTCCCCGAGGTAAGTCATATGATGTTGTGTTTTCCTTGACCTTTACTGACTGCGGTAAGACACCGGTGCCGGGTACTTCTATGGAGGGCCTAGGCGACGGCGGGAACTAGGCAGCTTTCCTGATTTGGAGTTGTTGGATACCAGGAGCTTGGCTTGTATGGGCCCTTGGTTGATGTTGGACGACATTGAGATGAGTCAGTCCTGGCGCGCTGGCATTGACTGAAAGAGGCTATGTGAGAGCCCCGCCTCGTGTATGATACCAGCCCCGTATGTCATCGATGCCTTGAAGTCCAATGAGCATCATGTTAGCAAACACATCAAGGTCATCAGGCTGCGCACCCCTCAAGACATCCGTGAAGTCCAGCTCCTTGATAACAAAGTGACTCTTGCTATTCCATGCCATAGCAAAGTCAAAAGCGCTCGTTGCTTTCCACAAGTGCGCAGAAAGCGTGACGCGGTTCTTCAACGAGAGTTCTTTAGCGCAAGACCTCATCTGGCCGCTCAGCAGGGTGTATATGACGGTTATGTGAAAAGCTACCAAGGCCGTACGTCTGGCTGACTCGCGAAAGATGTATGATTTCCACGCTGAGCGAGCGGCTGTACTGGGATAGAGTGGAAGCGTGGCGGGAAGCTCGGGATCCTCTGCTGCGATGGGTAGGAGGACAACACCTACATCTTCCAGATGCGGTATCAGGGCGTCGGCTCGAGCGTATAGTCTTATGTCACCGCCAAAGATGAGCATGATCTCATACAACATCAGAGCCTGTGTGCGAGCTAGAATCTCGATGGGTGTAGTCGGTATAGCAGTGGTTATGAGCTCTTCTGCGCGACTGGTGATGTACCGTGCGACGTGCTCAGCATTGTTGTCGTTCATGGTAACATAGAGGGCACATGCCGCGTGTGCGTCTTGTAATGATCGTGGCATGTAGTCTTCGTAAAGCAAAGGGTGAGCCCATGGTGTGCAACATTGCTCTACCATCATCTTTGGCGCGAGTTTGACGAGCTCGATTGAGTATTCCACCCTGGACTTTGCGAAGGGTGACAGGTGTCTTGCTGAGAAGGGCTGGCTCACTGGGGTATAAGACTTCTGTAAAGTCATTTGATCTTCCTGATGAGCTGGTGTATTGAGCATGTCCGTAAGCGCGTCGAGAGAGTCTGTTGCGGTGCAGAAGTCGAAGTCTAAGATATCTGCGGTGGGGTTGGCTGGCATGCCAGGTAGATCGAAGTCGAAAGCAACACAGCCATCATCAATCTCTGGCATCTCTGTTGGCGCATTGGATGAGCTAGAGTCAATAGGTGTTGCAGATGAGTCGTTTTGCGGAATTGCGGCCTGCGGCCGAGGCTGTGGAGGATAGACGCATGGCAAGTGCTGTCTAGCGCATCGTGCGCAATGAGGCTGCTCGAGACCGCACTTCCGCTTTGCCTTTGCGCACTCTGAGCATGACTTCTGCCTACCTTGTGAGTTGGTGGTGCGTGAACGATCTGGTGGCATGATGAACGTGTCTGTTGCTGGCGAGGAAGGAGGTGAGGCTTGCCGCGCGGCCGCCGATCTTGGCCTGCATCATTGTTAGTCAACGCTAGTGGGTCGCTCCATCCCAGCTCGGGCGACTCCTTAATTACTCACGACTGCACTCTGTTCCGATCAACGAAGGCATGAGCTAATCTACATCTTCAAAGTTAATACACAGCGCTTCACTGGGATCAATCGACTGCCATCTTCTACTTTTCAACATGCCAACTGACGTTCGCTCTCGCACCCCGCCGTGCCCGCTGCCATGGTCATGTACTCTTCGCACAACTACTCTTTGCTAACGAGATCATGGTTACTTCAACTCTTCACGGTGCTGATGCGATAGTGTGCTGCACCGGGAAGCTTGTTCAAGCCGTATAGTCGTTCTGCATGGCGACCCCCAAAGCCGCAGGATCTTTTTAATGGTGACCCCTCCCTACAAGTGACTATTGGACCTGCTGAAACAGCTCTGCACAACGACATCCAATTACCGGCGCCCATAGAAGCGAAACCCTTCCACCTGGTTCGGTTTGCCTCTGCAGGCTAGTCTTTCTTCAGCTTCTCGGTCCCGCGTCCCTGCTGCCAACTTTTGAAACGGTATACCACGTATGCCGCCGCGCACATCGAATAGAAGACCGCAGCATACGCGGCTTGCTTTCCGATCTTAATGGCGCTTGTCGGTACGGTGATGTACAGAGGTACCAGAGCTTGCTGTGACCGGCCCATCCAGCGCTTCCAAACTCGCTCGACTACGATCACCAACGCTGCTGTTATGCCCCAAAGACCCCCGAAGATGATCGGCGCACCGTACCCGCCCATCATTGCGCTTGTAAGAGTGGCGAAGACAGAACCTGCAACCACATTGCCGATACCCGCTTGCATGGCGGCTGCTGCACTACCTATGACAAAGTCAGTATTCTCATTCCACGGCAAACCCGTGGATCTGACCTACCAGCGACTATGCCACCCGCTCCAAAGCCTATGCCCGATAACATTATGGCTGCGAGCGCAAGCAGTACGAGCGGAACGACGACTAGGGCGAAGTCCCAAGGATGCCGCTTGATCCACTCGCCGGCTGCTTTCGCCACACCCTTGACCCCGAGTTGCTTGACCCTTTCGATTGCACTGGCCACAGCATCTTTTGCCTGCATGGCGCACAGGGTGACCTTGTCCATGACGTGTTTGTACATGGCCTTGATGAACGTGTTCGCGCGTCCGAGAGTGGCGTTGCCATTGCCCGAGGTACTCGCGTTGCTGTCTGGCTTGTCATTTGTAAAAGTTCTGTCTTCCTCATTATCGTTGGACTTGTCTTCTGGGCTGTCGTCTGCGTCACTGCCAACGTCTTGTTCTTGCTCGGGAGTTGTTTCATCTGTCTCAGGCTGCTGATCTGAAGTAGCATTTCCAGCGGGTGGAGGAAAGGTAGCGCGCAACCATCTCGGCATCCAAGAGTGATCTGCCATGTATTATGAGTGGGTCGTGGTGTTGGTGTTGAGGGGGCGTGCGGCGTCAGGTCCTCGAAATTTCCCTTTGCACCCCGGAGGAACTTGGCGGTGAAAGCGCGAGACATCTCACCGCGATACCAGATGGGGAAACATCCAGACGATTCGTGCATCACTTTGCATGCCGTAAAGGAGAAACAAGCCCTTCTATGCCAAATATCGTGCAAGCACGTTGCTTACTACTGTGAGATATCCGCAGTCACTTCGACTACAATAACATAACTCATAGGTACTTCGGGGATGCCAACCACAACACACCAACTTCGAGCATAATCGCCGTCCCCTTACTGATTCATAGTCAGACGGCCTGTCTCTTCGGCGATTAGCTTGTCGACCTCATCCTGAATGAAAGCACGATGTATAGCTCTGGCCTCCTCCAACTCGCGCATCAACCTTTCTCGCTCCCACAAAGTCCAAGCCGCCAGATCCGAGCATGTCTTTTCCGCCTTCGCACGAGCCTTGTTTGCCGTTTCCAGCTCCTGCCTCAATCTCGTATTCTGCTCCAAGATAAGCTCAAACGCCTCCTTGGTGATGCGTTCGCAACCGGGTGCGGGAGTTGAAGAATTTGGTTGGAACATAGAGGGTGTCGCGGGGCATTGTGGAACAGGGAAAGCCGGGGCTGTTAAGTATGGATCGTTGCTGGCGCTGCTGATCGAATTCAACCAGTCGATCACCTGATTAACACCATCCGCGTGATATGCGGAACGAAATGCGAGACTGATAGTGCGCTCGGGATCCTGGAGGCTCGCATGACCAGAGAAGGTGGTTTGGATGCGTTGCTGCTATGTTTTGGTCAGTGTTGTTATTGCTGTGGTACGACGAGGTGTCAGTGAAAGACTTACATTGACAGCAGTCTCTTCCCCATCGTCCTCCATCCTATCGGTATCAACACGATCTGGCTCCATGCCTACGCATCGGTGTCCTCCAAGATGGTTGCAGTGTTCGTAGGGGCTCGGATGTCGCGATTACGTCAGGAAAGGCGCAGTGAAGACGGAGACGCGTCGGTGACTGAGGACTATACTCACGTGCTGCTGAGTGAGCGCCTGCGCTAGCGTCTACTAGCGCATCTCTCTGTGTATCTCAGCCCCGCCTCCCTCTTCCGCCTTTCCTCTCGCTACCTGTGTTGACTTGATCTGACTCCACGCGTAAAGCTTCAGCTTACCGCACGAGCTGACGAGGACTCCACGGCCGACTGGGAGAGGGCAGATTCTAAACCAAGCTCTTCACGATCGGGAATCTAGACGTCGCAAGCCTCCATCCGGTGAGCTGTGGCTATAGGTGTCTCCTTCTAGAAGTGCGAGGGGATCCCGCCGCGAACCAAACAAACAAGCCTTTGCGTGAACGACTCGGCGTCCCGTGTTGTACCTCAAGGCATTCACGGCCCACCGACATCCTCTCATCAGTACGTTGTTTCTCTCCGCCTTACTCATGTCGTGAAATGTATGTGTTAATGTTACGTCGTAGTTCTTCTCGCTGTCATGTCGTTCCGCAGTCTCAGAGGTCGCCCGCCCACGCAATTCCTACCCCCGGCTGGTGCCTACTACGACCAATTCGATATCATCGCACTATTCGGCCCGGACATACCTAGGAGTGGCCTTTGTATTCACTGTCTACAGCCTGAATGCGGGGCTTCGGGAGATCCCACCAGATGCGCGAACGCGTGTGGCATGTGCGGATGTAAGGACCAGCACGCGAAGAGGGCAAGTCTTCCTTACTACCATAGAAATCTCATTACTAACTCGTTTCAGCTCTGCGCTATGGCCTACTGCTCATACAGGTGGCGCAAAGACCACGGATGTACTCCAGACCCAGATGATATGATCGCGCTACGTCCCGGAATGAACCAGGTTGCAGATCTTCATGGCCTTGGGATCATACAGACTATGTCTCATGTCTCTATGGACGTCTTGCCGAACATGGAGAACGCTGATGTCAAGGATTACTACACCGGCCATACCATACAACACAGTCATCGCATCCGTGTGCGCACGCCCATCATCTGGACCCACGAGCACGGTTACAGGAGCGCCGCTATGACAGTCAAGGCCAACCCCAATGAGGCGGTAGCAGCGACTCTCAACGGTGCCGACATTCGTGGTTCAGATTCTCAAGCCCTCGACCTGCCCTTCATTGGTTCTCCTCTCGCTAGAGCCATCCGCCAAGTCACCGAAGAGCCTTCTTCCCACCCGCCAATGCCAATCCCGGGTCTTTGGCTCCAGCCACAAGCTCCGCCCGACAACAACATGCAGCTGCAGATCATCCCCCCTGTCAACGCCATCATCATACCTTCTTCATCCTCATCGGAGAATGCTCGCTGTCCTGCTCTGTCCCCTACGGCTAGCCTACAACTGCACTACGAGAAGCTGCTGCACGAGCGCGATCAGCGAGAGCTTCAGTACATCGCTGAGAGCAAGGACAAGGACAGGATGATCAGGACGCTCAAGGCTAAGCTTGGATGGTCTCTGGAGTAGATCGCCTTATACAAGGAAGGATCTGAACAGGTCCAAGGCCTACATCGACGCTAGGTTGCCTATCTTGTAGGCCTTTACGTTAATGCGGGCTGCAGGCCTGTTCGGCTTTTGTGTTAGTTGACGTGAGATGCTGGTAGTAAGGTCATGCATTGGCCGACACGGCACTTAATGATGTACTGAGTATTGAATGGTAGCGCAATGGGAAAGAGCTGATGCCTTGGTGACTTCGGAATCAACGGCTGAATACAAGATAATTCTTCAATACTATGTAATCCTGTATACAGCTCAGCAATGCATAATTTCTGCTTCCAGTGATTCTGTTCTCTATTTTCATACGTGCTGGACACATACCCAGACCGAAAGTCGTCTCAGCTATCGCCCGGGCGCGGTACCTAAGGGGGCGTGTCAGGTGATGTCACAGCCACGTGCTGCCAGGTCACAGTCGTGCCTACCTATCTGGGTACGTAGGTGAGAGCAACACGCCAAGCCGAGACGCGTCGCTGTCAACAAACAGCCAAACACTCGACTTACTCATCCACAGACATCACCCACCACGACACATCACGATGGCCAATCTCTACTTGATGCAGGCCTTGTACGCCCCGAAGCTGCCTCCGCCCACGCCTAGTCCTGGTGTTTCCGCGCTCGACGACGACGGCGTGCAGGGACGACAAAGGCAGTCTGTCATGCCCGAGCGCCTCAGCATGATGGAAGTCGAAGGTAAGAACCCAAAAAAACTGTTTTCAACCCTATTGACCCATAGCAGAACCACCTGAACCCGAATCAGAGGCCGCTGCGCGCTGGAAACCGACTGGTGCCAATGTTCAGCCAGTCGGCATCAAGAGCGAGTTTCCAAGCTCCGACGCTGCGGACAGATTTTTGGAATCGCTCCCGTCTTTTCCTGGCAACATTGCTGTTACGCCTTCTCCGCCCTCATCGATGACGCTTCCTGCTGGCCTTACGTACCCAATCGAGCGATACCTACCACCTGCGGGACCATATTACGACCAGAACGCTCTCCTTCCCGTCTTTGGACCGGTATTCTTCAAATACAAACCTTGTATGATCTGTTGGACCTGCCACCCCGCTGCAGGCTATTCGACCACGTCTTGCGGGAAGGTATGCAAGGTCTGCGGAACCCGCCGCCACCCAGACGAGGTAAGACCCACCTACCGCAAATGCGCAGTAGCACTGCTGACATAGGTGCTAGAGCTGTTCCCTGTTCTATTGTAATAGAGACTGGTATCGCCAGCAGGAGATTCCATGCGGTCCAGAAACCGTTCGAGATCGACAAATCCGTCCCGACAAGCAAGAGCTCGCTGTCCTCTCTCGTATCGGTGTCATGTATAATGCACGCGGTCCAAACAACACTGTTCTTGTAAACCCAATGCATCCGATCGTTCAGGACTTCTACAAAGACAAGCCAAGGTCGAAGGCATTGATGCGGAAGATATTCGAGGCGGACCCAAGGCATCGCTCGACGTCCATTCCATCGCGCAGTGGGCCAACGCTTGTGGCAAATGCCCCTGCACAGCAACCGCTTCCGCCGCTGATGAGCCCATACACCATACCGATAAGATCCGTGGACAACAGCCTCGACCCGCGTCTCCAGGGTCGCACCTCCTGTGGCGCGCCCGGCCAACTGGTGCTTCCGCAGCCCGATAACGCCAGCAACAGCAGCGAAACCCCGACTGATCCAGAAGACATCGAAAAGAAGCTTCAGGACCAGGAGGTCGAGAATCTGAACTTGAGAATGCAGGCAGTTGTGAAGGATCGTGAGATTCGGAAGCTGAGGGCGGAGCTCGAGCAGCTGCGCGCTCAAGCTGCCAACACTGGTGGCGCATACTAGACCATTGGCAAGTGGCCACACTCGCAGACTACTGTTTGCGGCTGGGTTGGCGATGATCGTGGAAAGATGTATATGTAAATGTTCAGAGATAAATGCAGCCAGGTCAGACCAGGCGAATAATGAAGTCCGTGATGGATCACTCTATAAAAAGAAGTACTCTGGCGGCTACATGGGTGCCGAAACAACAGTTTAATGATATTTCGAGGCCACGTAGGCTCCCGGGTGATTTCTATTGACATGACGATGTGATGTCGTGAGTTGGGCCGTGGTGCTCGGCGGATTGCGAATGTGGACGTGGGATGACTAATCTAGCGGCAAACCTCCATCTCCGATCTTCCGACGACGCGTCTTCATCACTCCTTCCACACACTCGTCCCGTCGTGCATCGCAACGCATCGCAACGCATCGCAACAGCCACGCACCATCACAACCACGAACGTCAATGACATTCCACTATATCGTCGCAGCAACAGACTGTACATCGACGAGAATTGTTACAGGAATTCTGAAAGAGCCGGTAACAGGTCGTCAGTCACGACTGTCTCGATCTTGGTTCGGTTTGCGTATCAAGCCCGCATAGGTGGCGCAGGCTTGCGTGAATGTCTCGACCGTCGCCTAAACTCCCAGAGGCCCACAATCCCCGCAATTTGCGGTACAATCACATTATATTGCTTACAATTCTGCAGTTTCCCATCGTGTGACAACGGACATGTAACACCTTCTGGGACTGGCCCATCTGGGCTTTACCAGCTTGCTCCAACGGATCCGTAGCCGGGTGGGTGACCGCAACCGACGGTCGCTCATTGGGCGAGCATCTATCAGCGCACGATTCCTTTTTTTTTTGCCCTTTTTCTTTTTCTTTTTTGCGCGGCCGCTTTCACTGCAGACTTTCGCATTTCATTCTCAGGCGCGCGGACTGAGGACTCTCCAGCAGTTTTCTAAACTGTCAAGCAGTTCCGCGTCTTAACGCGCTGTACAAGCTAATTACTTTTTTGCTGTATCGATTGCTACAACACGCAGATACTTGTTTCGAAGTACAGGAGTTCTTGCAGAGGTATCATGCTCGTGTACCTTCATTAGCGTCATGGAACATGGATATCTAGTAGTGCTGCAGTATACGCTTGATTGCGCTCCAGGAAGGTTGTCGCGAGAATCTACGTTGCCGCTGTCTAACTCGCGAAAGCGACGGCACATTGCCTCAGCACCACCCATCCCTCCGATCCATCATCACAGGCGACCATTCTTCATGTCCTGGGCCGCTTCGCGCCCGTAGAACCGCCGCCACCAATCAATTCCGCAATCCGAGCATCTTTCGCAATCAGCTCAGCATCTTTCGCATTCAGCTCAGTGCGAGCTTGTTCGAGCGCTTCGGCTAGGCGCTTGTTTTCGGCTTGTAGGGAGCGAATGAGCTCAGACTGATGCGCGAACTCCTCAACAGAGGTGCTAGCTTCTCCGACGCCATCGCCAGACTCATGTGTAACTGGTTGATCGGTGATGGAAGCGATTTCACCTTCCGGCTCTTCGTTGTCTTCCAAAACGACGCGTCGAGCCATCAGGCGGGGGTCACGAGCGGGGTCTACGCTGTGGGTGGAGACCGGATTTGAAGGTTCAATACCCTCCGTAGCCGGACCGGCATGCTGCTTGGGAACGCCTGACCTTGACTGCTCCTGAAGCCTTTTCGGCTTGGGCCAGACGATTCTGCCCGGCGAATATTGCGGCATCGATGTCGTTCGGTAAAGCTCTCGCACGAGTGGATGATTGTCCTTCAGGACAACAGGGTCTGTGAGCTTTTTGAAGCTGTGAACGACTCCGGCGGCGACAAGGTATACCAGCTCCCTGATGCTGGGACGCACGCGCATTGTCTTGACCACATTGTAGCCCCGAGCCCTCCACCACGCCACCGTCGCGTAAATCTGACCACAAGTCCGCCCGGGATGGTCATTCTTCTTGCAAACTCGACACTTCTTCCTACACTTCTTGTGGGTATCTTCATGTTTGGCCCCCCAACAAACAATGCACACGCGTATCTCGCCGTTGGCGTGCACGTCGAACACGGCTTCGCCGAAATGGCTTCCGAGGGTATACTCGTCGTAGTACGGTCCAGATGGCGGCAGGCAGTTGGCTATGGGTACCTTCAGACCCTTCACCGGACCAATGGGCTTGAAGATATTGGGCTCTGTCTCTACTCGTACGCTGACCAGCTGTAGTTCGCGTTCGGTTGGAAGGTCGTCTGCGAATACATTGTTAGTCAACCTGGTCAAGAGAGGGAAGGCGTGTGACCCTGGCGCATACGAGGTCGTCGCGCACCGTCATGCAGCCACCGCAGGATGCTTGAAGGGCATCGCGCTTGCTCATGATGTCGGCGTCGGTTGTACGAAAGTACGACGTATCCTTATACTTACACTCAACTCCACCATCTGTCCGCCTTGCTGTCTCCGAGGGTGCGTTCCGTTGTGGGTCAGGATCACTATCGCGGCGGCCATACACGGAAGTGATGTCGCGCTGTTCCGACATCGCGTCGATATTGGGCGAAAGAGGTCGCGACTTGATCGTGGAATGTTGGAGTGTTGGCGGTGTTCGAGGCGAACGGTGCGGTAGAGGATGGTTGGGAGGTGTTGGGCAATGTGCGACTATGGCGCGATATTTTCATATCACGACTTAGCGTCACGCGCAGAAACTTTCGACTTGTCTCTTTCACTATCTGGAACACCTCGAGACGATGCAGGTCAGGATACTGGTCGAGCGCTCGAACGAAGCTGCCGCACTTCCGTCACCAAGCATTGGTCGCGATGAAAGCCTGACAAAGGCCACATCAAGGATATCATATCGCGACGGGTGGCCCGACGGCCACATCAAAACGAGGTTGTGTAAGTCATTACTTCGATGTACATCTAGAAGCTTCGTGATCACTGTCGATGAGTACAGCAATACCGACGTGTGATCATTCGAAAGGATCTCGGTAACGCAACAACGAGGACGCGCATAATGACCGCTCGCCTGTCACCATCATACAGACTTCCAATCATGGGCCCGACATCACATGGACACATACGCTTCTCTCGCGACATGGCCCATATGCTACGCGCAGCAAGAATCTGGACCACACAGCATCTCTCTCAGCATTGTTCCCCGCTCTGGGTAAATATTCTAAGTCACTGGCAGATGACGCGCTAACGCTATCGAGATCGGGCTAGACCGACCGCGCGCTTTCTGCCTGGACCCTTCAACCGCTGCCTTCACTTTCTGTCTCATCGCCTAAACCATCCTCATCAACGCGTCAAGCCGACTTTTGGACGTTGGATATGGCGCCGCGCAACCAGCCAGACGGACCTCACGGGTCAGCGGCGGCCCTCAACCCGGAGCGATCGGATGACGAGATCTTTCTCGACAGATTCGCATACAACCCTCTGGGCGGCACAAAGTTGTACGAATTCTTTCTTTCTTGGCCCGCAAACGACTACTTTCCTTCTCGTCAAGAAGTGGAGCGAATCGCACAGCACCAGGTCAATACCATTTTCGGAGCCTTCGACAGAATACGCTTCATCTTGGAACGCCACGAAGACACCATCAGGAAGCGATGGACCAAGAAGAGTACCAGCAAGAAAAAGAAACTTCTGCTTGCGGCGCAGCCGAACATTCCAAACGAACATCGACCTGACATGGATGTTGATAACGCGGTAATATTCTCGTTTCTGCCAGGTGGAGATGTGATGGATTCCGCGACCCGTATGGCAATTGCGAAGAACAGCGAAGCTTGCATGGTCCCATTCCTGAATATGGAGGATCTTCTCCAACCCGGAACCTTTCTGACTTTGCTGAGCTCGCGTGGCCATAACCCCATAGCATCGTTCAGTCAAACGGAACTCCTTCACGCCCCACTCGCCCGTTGGCTAGAGGAGACACTTCAATTCCATCTGCAAACATACACAATGCTCTTTGCAGGACGAAATACGCGAGCCACATACGGCCGGCTGAAGGATTGTAGAAGCAAGAGCGAAGCCCGCCAGTCAATCCACAAGGGTAGAAGCGTTTATCCAGGTCATGGCTTACAAATCCTCGGCATACAGAAGATACTCTATACGTTCCTTCAGCGATGCTGCTTTCTTCTAGTAGGCGATCTCTTGTCAAGTGAGAAAGCACGTCTGGACCAATATCCCGTCATACGCCGACCGACATCTTTGTTCAATGCTGCGACCGATCACACAAACCGAGCAGAGGTCTCGTTGATGACTCCGTACGGTGTGCCCGGACAGTTGAGCTTCGACCGTTTACGTTGCGTGATCAGCTCCAAAGTCGGCGAACTAGAAGATCACATCTGGGCATTGCGCGAAGATCCTGGCTACTTTTCAGAGGTGTTCAACGACTATAAGTCGCATCGTTCCGAATACATCCCCTCTCTGGATGGCAACGTCAACGCTATAATGAAGGAGAAGCCCCATGCGATCTTCGGACTCATCCTTCGGAACCTCATCACTGATCCATACTATGCATTATCCTATTGGCATGAGTGTCTCCGTCTTCTTGACCGCCTGACCTCTACAGCCTTGCGTCATGGCTTCCAGTTTAACCCAAACAAAGAGCTGCCAGAAGACTACCGCAAAGACATTCTGAGGCTGTGGACGACTCTAAACGCGATTCACATGGATGTCCATGAGTGCTTTCGTCAGCGCGTTCCAGCCGCACCAGGCATGCGACCTTATTATGTCAAGACAAAGGCCGACCCAAACAGCCAAGGCTCCTATTTCAAGATCGCGAGGTCAAAAGCAGCAGACGATCCAATCACTCTCCGATTTCTCGACGCTTTATCCCGAATCACCGGCTCGCACAACCCACCGAAAGAGGCTTTCGTGACTGAACTGGACGACCTGGAGAGATTAGTGATCAAACACCCTGCCGCTAAAGATCTTCTGTCGCCATTTGTATGGGCCGATTTCTCTCAACTGTCAGTCTCGTCGGAATGCATCCAACAAATCCGGTCCTATCAACCGTGGTCAATACAGATCGAAAATGAGATGTATTCTCGAACGGTAGAGTTGACGCTGGAGTTCCGGCACTTCACGCAAATGTGGGGACCTGTATCGGGCATGCGGCGTTTTGACGATGTCAAGTTAGCGCGTATGGCGGATCCATCAGACGGGAAATTCCGCTATCCAATCACCGAGAGACGTAGTCGTGTGACAACGGGTTCTTTACGCCTGGCGGAAAGGAACCTGGATGCTTTCTGGAAGACTGCCGACGCGTTCTGCAAGAAGCTGGCGGGAGCAACCTTTCCAAACATCTTGAAGCGCGATATTACCCGCGGACGCTCTATTCGTCGCACTGCAGCATGGACCGAGCCGACCACCCATCTCGACGACGGAGCTCACCCCCAGCCTACATACAAGGCTCTCACAATCGAGACCCTTGGTGGTGACGAACACATCAAACCATCGGCGATAAGCAAGAAGAAGATCAAGACCCGTGGCACCTGCGATCCGGCCAGTCTCGCTGATAAACAACTCAAGTCCTGTGAGCCCTTGGACTCTCCGCCGCCACAAGTGACAGTTGACAAGCGCTCTCATCTGGTATTCAAGACTCTCTTCGTTTCTCCTTCAGCGCGAGACGTACCGGCGGAAGTGCCTTGGAAGGACTTCGTTCATGTTATGGTCAAGCGCGGCTTTGAAGCTGAGAAGCTACACGGTTCGTCATGGCGGTTCACACCAACGACCCTGGGTGCAGAGCGCGCTATTCAGTTCCATGCTCCACACGGCGCGCTCAGCAAACTACCTTTGACTTGGGCGAGGCGATATGGCAGGAGGCTGGAGAGAGAGTATGGGTGGACTGGCGAGATGTTTACTCTCGCGTAGACCTGACAGTCTGCAGTGGATCAAAGTTTGAATGTCGGAATGACACGCATGTCTAAGCGCTGGAGCTTCGTTTGGGATTTGGCATGACTAGATGGCTCAGCGAGAGATACACGTTGGAGGACATGAGACGCGATATCACGATGAGGAACCGATGCGCGGCCGGGATGACTTCATATGCAGTAACAGCAAAAGCGGTACTAGCATACTTGCTTCACATCCAGTAGTCAAACTCCATGGCTATCTATACTACATGCCAGATCCGTCCTGTTCCTCCCACTTCCTGTCATCCCAGTAGCCACATGTTTGCTTCAGCTTTATGCTATGTCTCCACACTCCCATAACATCCTCCCTCCAAGCTCAACTCAGCAAGCAAAGAGCAAGTCTCGTTTCAAACCAACGCATTGGCAAAGACCTTGCTCTCTCGTCTTCCCCTTTCACATGCCCGGCTCATAATGATCACCACCAGTCGACACCTTCCCACGGCGCTTCCCCTGGCGAATCCTGGTAAGTACACGTCTTCTGTACCGCGGTTTCATCCGATTGTAGATAGCCAAAGCCGCGATGTCATCGTCTTCATACGCCGCCAGGACCCTCCTATCGTACTTCTTGAGAGTCCCATTTTTCCAATTGCGCTTGGCGCGCGGGTAGTCAATCTCGATGAAGCTTAAGTCATGGCGTGGCCAGACCGCAACGGCTTTGGCAATCGCCGCAAGGGCCTTCTGCTCGTCCCATCCGGTGTAGTCGATGCCTGTAGCTTCTGCGGCTTTGGACATGGCTATTGGGACAAAATGTTCGAAGCGCGCAAGGAGTGCTTTGTCTCGAGTGTGATGCGTTGAAAGGCTTCGTTCGCGTGAATCGGGGTAGTCGTCACTGTACTCGTATTAGTGAGCCTGGTCGGCCTTGGAGGCAATGGTCGCTTTCATGTCAGTGTCTGCGGTCTCTGTCTTGATGAAAGGCATAAGCTCGGCATTTGAAACATCAAGTGCGGCTTCGATGTCAGTATCTTCGGTCTCCGCCTTGATGAAAGGCAAAAGCTCGGCATCCGACGCATCGAGTGCAGCTTCGAGTGGACCGTATAGCGCATCCAGCCCGGACACGAAGTCATCGAATGCCAGGCTTTGCTCCTTGAGAGGAGATCGCGTGGAAGCCATCATGTCTGACGCAGAGCGAGAGCTTGATGGTGGCGTTGAGCAAGATTTCATTGCTCTCATCCAAAAATGTAACATCGACTAGCGCTCTTGGCGCGCAAACAGAGCTCTTCAAGTTTTCCCATCCGTTGCCATGAACACAACGATCACGTGATGACGCGGGACGCTAAGCGCACAGTTCGCGCCTTCCTACTCTTCTGCCCCGCGATTGCAGTCTTGCTCGGCTTCTTCTCCAGTCATCGAAAACGTGAGTGAAAATCGCAATTGTCGCGGCTCTTTACTGACATATAGCAGATGTATCCGCAAATACATCCCGAGACTCAATTTCGGCAACCGCATCCCAGCGGACTGCTACCACCTCAGTTTCCACTCGTGAGCAACTCAGTTCTACAACCTCAACAACACGTACTTCCGCCATACGCACCGTCTGAGCCGCAGTATCCGCTCCAGCAACCGCGATACCTTCCACGACAACAGTTTCTTGCAGCACCTCAACAACATGCTCCACCACTACAGCAGTATTCTATATCGCAGACACAGTACCTCAGCGCACCACCGCAGAGCTTTGCACCACCAATAGACTGTTATGTGCCATCAACGCAGTACTATTCACATCAACCGCAAATCCTTCCGCAGCAGCAGGTTTATCAACCACCTGAACAACATGCGCTGCAAACGTACCACCTTCCTGTCCCACAAGTGCAATGTGCTGCGCCTCCACCTCAATTCAATCCGCCGCAACCACATAAACCTGGCCCGCAACGGCAGCAATATGCACTCCAGCAACCATACCATCACTCGCAACAGCAATATCATTTACCGCCACAACCGGCCCACCCGCCACAATCGCAGTTCCATCACAATCTACTGCATGCTGTACCAACATATATGCCACATCAGGCCCCGCCATTATATGACATCGCAGAGCCATCACCTGCACAATACACGCCAATCTGCCAAACAACATGCGGCTTGCAATACCAAGAAGGCCCGTCGACATTGTTTCCACAGCCGCAGCTCTCTCAACAAAGCTCTGGGACACCGGCGGTCTCAGATGAATACGCACATCATCCACCACAGCCGCGAACTCCCAATGCTCCAGTAGTACCACCGTCTTCGGCAGCCGAATACGAATCGATCGTACCGCAGATCTTCAATCTGGATATGAGCTCGTACAATCAAATCGCGATTGAGGCCCCACAGGGTGAGATAGGCAGCAGCTCACCAGTATTGCCAACTTATATCGCACCCGCTCAAGTTCGTACCGGTAATGAACCTATGACACCATTCGAAGCATCGAGGAGATCTACGCCAAAGACATGTTTCGAACATCTCTCGCTAGACGAGACTGACATTGGCTGTCCATCCATTTCAGATGTATCTCTAGGAAGCCTTCTATACAAAGATAAAACTCCTCTAAAGGTTCTACACTGGGAGGGGTGGATGGGCGCTCGAGCGCGCGCGAAAAAGGTCGCCCATGCCAAACTTGGCCCAACTGGTAAAGTTGTCACGCTGCCACATCCTTGTGATGAATACTTTGATGCGGTTCCCTGGGAAGCGTCCCATCGGCCAGAGATGCCACATCACGTCTACCCCAACAACAAAGATGGATCGCGCAATTCCGGATTGCTTTGGGTCGCGCGCTACCTTTGTAGCAAGCCCAATCAGCTGAACCTCTGTTGGTACACATTTGGCACCCCGGGCAGCTGCCCCCTTGGTGCCTCCTGCCGATGGGACCACAAATTATCATGGACAACTCTATGCTTTCTCATCACCAGCGGACGAGTCTCTGTGCAGCTTGCTCGCCAACTCATGGCAAACTGGAACACAAATGAACATTCAGATCAACTACCAGAAGTCATAGCCCGCATGAAAGCGATCACGTTAGGTCTTGGTGAACGCCTTGAACCCAAGGTACTACCCAGCCGGCGTGCAAGCTCACGCTCATGGGACGATATCTGCTGAGCATCAGCTCTCGTGCAACAAGCTCCGCCCGTTCTCATATGCTAACCTAACCTCACCGTCCCGCAAGATCATGAAATCCACGTCTCGTGAAGCTTGTTTTATCGCTTCTTCATTTTGCGCTCTTCCATGCACTTGCATTATTCCATGGCCGTACTGTTCCAGTACGGTATTTCATATTCTCATCTGTGGTCAGATTCGGTCTGATGATGTTCTTGGGCTATACGCAATTGCGTATAGCTTCTTAGGTCTCTGGTAAGCAACGCTGCTTACCGTGTGTTGTCCTTCGGCTGTACTTTGGGTATGGTGTTGCTCGTGATTTTACTGTTCTTTGACTCTGGCTACACCTCAAGGTATGGCATTGCTTAATCTCCCATTTTCCTGGCTATGCAATAGCGCATAGTGTTTCTTTCACATCCTGACGGCGTGCGACATCTCCGCGCCTTCCCATCGACTGCCATGCGAACGGGTGATTGAAGTTGAACCACACTTTCTTTGACAGCAAGAGGCTTGGAAGGATGGCTCCTGGTCTGTTTGATGTCGGTTTGACTTCGTTACGTGGTAGCATTGCCGCTAGGTGGGCGTGCATTCGCCGGAGCATATGTTCACTCCGCTGCAGTTCCCCGCAGTTCAATCAAGGTCCAACTGGCTCTTACTGCACGATTCCATCCTGTGTTCAACCTCAAAGCACTACTAAGACTTCAGAAACTATTGTTCAGAGCTCTTTTCTCATCCAATACATCGTATTTGAGCTCATATAGTCGGTGTTGCAAGCAACGGTATATATTTATATATATATGGATAAGTATGACGTTATCTCGAGTGTGAATTCAATCGCCGCGTTGACAGGCTATCATAGTTTGATGAGTGGCTGCCCTAGCACTTGATGCTACGTATATCTATCGAGAACACAGCGCTATCACGATACGCACTTTTCGCGATGCGGTATGAACTGATGTAGACTCGACTTAGCTAGCTTCTGGGTATTGGGCTCACCATCATGGGATGGACCAAACGGGCATGGTGACGCGCCACGCTAAGCGCACGGTTCTCGCACAGTCTGTAAACGCCCGTCGAGCTCAGCCTTTTTTTCTTTACTCACACACAAGAATACAAAATACACAATGACCCATAAAAGAAGACACGAATTCAATATGAACAAGAAGAACCGCAACCGCTCAAACAGCATCGAAGACGCAGATTGCGATATCAAAATCAACCACAACAACCCAGAACGACACCCCAATCACGTCAGACAGCGAGGTCAGAAACTTGCACCACTAGCTTTAAGAGATATGCTAAAATCTGACCGGATGCAGGGAATTCAATAGACAATGACGACGATTCCGACGATGGCCGATACCGACCAGAAGACATCGATAGTATCTATCTTGAAGACTACGATACCTGCTTGTACGATAGCAACGGCGACTGCTATCGTTACGAAGCCGTTATGTCAAGCTCTAAGACTACAGATCCCGATGCCTCTCTCGTACCCACAAAGACCCAGGATGTTCTCTCGACCAAAACCGCAGCAGAACTAATTCAAGGAAAGCTGGAGAGTGAGATCGAGACGCTTGACATTCGTCATTCGGCGTCATGGATCGAAGGGAAAGAACAAGCAAAAGGCACCTGCAACATAGTATCGCTCCAGTCACCACCATGGACTACAAATCTCCCTGCGAAGAGACCGTGGCATGAGTACGGTCTCACACCCGGAGGCTTCCCACGGCACGGCCGACTCTCGCCTTGGCTCTACCTTTGCGATCACACCTGCGATCTGAGCTTGTGCGACATCACCTTCCGGTTACCCTATACTTGTCCGCTCGGTTCAGGCTGTCGCTGGAGACACGAGATTCTCTGGGACGAGCTGAGCTTCCTTATCACCAGCGGTCGCCTCACCCTCCGACGTGCTCGTGTCATGCTCGCAAACTGGCAGTCATCTGCGTCGTTGGATGATGATGTTGACGCTTGGCACCGCATGAACGCCATAATCGACCGTCTGCAGCATCTCGAGGCGCCAGCTATACTTAGATACACATATCCGTATCTGTTCCCCGTCCGCGACTCTCACGCTCTCTTTTCGAGACTGAGCGACTGATAGCGCGTTGGATGAGAGGCCATAACAAACTCAATCAGAATGCAGCGCAAAGCTCTTTCTCTCATTACATACGATCATCGGCCTGGCTGGCAAGCAGCGCACCCAAGCACTTTTCGCTTGCTGAACGCCGCACTTGCCGACATGGGACATGAAACCTTTTCGCGCCGAAGCGCCGGAACTCAAAGCCTTTCTGACCATGCGAGACCTTTTCCATCCTGACCGCCTCTGGTAGTGGTCTCTAGCACCTGCCATACTATCCGCTTCTTGCACACTCGCTGCTCTGAAGCCTCACTTCCGCAACGGATGTAGCTCATTCCACGCCCGTTGGATCTTTGCACTTCGCTATGGTCCTTGGGTGTGTGAAAGTCGACATCGTGGGATCTGGTACTGTCTTGATCGCTTTTGAGATCTGATAGTTGCCGTGATCGTGCGATGCACCAACCATGAGCCATTGCCTGATACGCATCGGTCTTGCGCTTTTTCACCTGTGGACAAAGCCGTTGCCTGATGCCGATCGACCTAGCGCTCTGCTTCAGTGTCAAGTCGATCTGCTGTGCTCGAATAGCTTGATCGTAGACGCATTAGTTGATGGGGGAAAGAGGTGAGGATGTACGACTAGAATGGTCAAGATCATCACAGCACGTAAAGTACACCAGTAGCAGTATCACACCTCGTGCATTCTCTTCCTTCTTCCCGTGTCTTCGTTTGATACTGCGATGACGCAGAGCGAGACGAGCCACTCATGATTCCCGAATTACATGACCACCACATACGCAAAGGTACTCCTCATCAAATGAGAGACATCGCAATCCTCAGAGTCCGTGTCTTCGTTCGCATCGTACTATCTAACCCATGAGTCGTACACGATGCCTGCCACCGCCACACAAGTATATCATTCCGATCTTTACACGCGTTCGGCATCGTCACCGCCAACATCTGTGATGTGAAACAGCAACATGACATCCCACTTCTCCTTGAAGATAGTAACCTTATCGACAGTCTTGTGACCTAGTCCCTTCCTATGCTGTATGAGGAGGTAAGCGACCCCGGAACCATTCGGTGAGCCTAATAACGCATTGAACTCCACTGAGCCTGCGCCGTATGTTGTCCCCGGCCATTCTTTTACAACGAGTCTGCCCTGTAACGACAGAAAGGTAACGGCAAAGCGCGTGACATCGTTGAGGACGTTGTGTCGGAGTACGTAACGCAGGTTTGACTTCTCGTTGGCTTTCGACAGCCATTGGAGATACGCTACATCCGACCAGTGTTTCAATTTCGGGATAACTGAGTAGCATCGTCCGCACTCTTCAATCATGGCTCGGGCTGTGTAGTTGTCATACGCCACTATAATTCCATCCGAGGGGTTGATGACTTGGCAAAACAACGCTTCCGTTGCTGCACAGCCTTGACCACCCACCGCTTTCGGGTCCTCGCGTTGGTGGCCGACGCAAAAATTGGGTCCTTCATTCTCATCAAACTCTCCATTTAGTCCAATGAGCCACAGAATGTCGCAGAACCATTCCTTTGCGGTATCTGGGTACGTAAATTCGTCCTCTTCGTACCCCCATTCTTGGAGATCCTGCACAGCTGTGAATAGACTTTCAGTCGATTCTGATGGTTCTGCGATCATCAGTTTAGATAGCTGGGCGCCTTTGACAACGAGCTTCTCGAACTTTTGGCTGACGCGCCACCAATCAGCTTGCTTCGCATCGTTCGAGCTACCCGTGTCTACTTTTAGCGACACCGCAAGCTCCTCAAACGGTGATAAGTTTAGATGCGCGGCTGGAGCTGGGCTCAAATCTTCCACCGGACGGGTTTGAGGATTTGACGTCATCTTTTGAAGGAGTCTGTGAAACATATCGGGATGAAACTGAGGTTGCGCTCGGGTGTAGTGAGTAGAACTGGCATACTGGAGCGATTGTATACCAAGTGGACGCTGTGATGAGCGACATTGTGCACAAACAGCTGTGAAATACGTGTTGTCAACATAGTCAGTACACGAGACTCACCGTAAACCACCGACTTTGTACTCTACGCATTTCACGGACGCGAATGGATTGGAAAACGATATGCGTTTGCATCTTTCCCCATCTCTTCCCGCTGGCTGCATAGCGCGTGTTCAGTTCAGTCTGGATAAATGGTATTGACATTTAAGCGACGCACGTTGCTGTTTCGAAGCTCTTCCGGTTTTGACCAAAGATTCCGGTGATGGAAGTGCTGTCGTGGAGAGGTCTGATCGCGAACGTCGTTCCGGGACTCTTCCTACACGCAAAGTGGTGTTAAGGATCAACTGAGCCACTGCGCAGTGTCGCATTCGGCTGATGGTAATGATCTTTGTTAGGAAGTAGTCGTTCCAGCTTGCTTGACGGATGATCTGAAATCTGCGTGTCATCGAAGTTTCGGGGTCGGAAGTGCCGACGCCATGCCCTGGAAAGGACTAGGCGCACTCAGACCAAGGTTGCCATCTTCCCGATGTTCCGACGACACGTCTTCATCACCCTTCTCCCTCCTCAAATCTTGCGCATCGACACCTTTCACCGCCACATTTGGGCGCACCCAATCCATACATCAGGGCGCTTACTGAACTGTCACGGTGAGTTGCGTAGTCATAGTATCTTCTTTGAGGTGGGGCAACGGCAGCGGTGCGGTTATAATGGTACAGATTCTACTAATTGTCATCGAGAAAACAAGAAGAGGCGCTGCCGGGAAGCCCGTAGAACGGCATCGCAGCAGCGACCTCGTGGGCTATTAGCTGGGTGGGTGACCACTAGCGAACGTTCAATTGTGAGTACTTCGATTTTTGCCCTTTTTTGCTCTTTTTTGCCCTTCCTTGGTCTTTTTGCTCCTTCATTCTCTCTTGCCAATCACAGCGAGCTGTACTTCAATGTGTTTTCACTGTTCTTGCTCACTTTTTCGCGTATCTCTGGAGCTATACGTCTGCGTAGAGGATGCATCTCGCGCTATCATACGATGTCTTTCCTACTACATGTCTCTAGTACTATCAAGGCCAACTCCGGGTTCTACCACTGTATACCTCAAACGTCCATTAGACCTCAATCTCGTCCTCGCGGTTCTCGATGTATGCATTAACGCCTCGCGCGCTTGTTCGGTGCCAGCGCCGATCGCGCGATGTCTGCCGCGTTCTCCAATTCACGAATCCGATCATCTTTCTCGTCCATCCACCTCCTGTGGTCTTTGTCCTTCATTCCGATCATAGCTTTCACCTCTTCAAGCTCTTTGCCCTGATCTGCTAGCCTTTGTTCTAGCTCTGCCACCTTCGCATCCCTCTCCGCGATCACTCCACGCAGCTGCTCAACCGTCGTAGGCGGCAACGCCTGGTTCTCCGCCACGATGCCCTCGTCCACAACCTCTTGTATACCCCTCGGTAGCTCTTCCTGCTCCTGTTCGATGCTGACTACGGCCGCTGTATGCGGCTTCGCGATGTTCGGAAGTGAGGAATCGACGGATGCAGTACCTGTAGTCGGCAAGGCAGTCGCCAGAACGGGCGCTGCTTCCGTCTCGTTGACGGTCTCTGCGTGCGTTGTGATCAGCTTCGCTTGAGTTTTACTCGTCCCAGCTGCCCTCGCCGGAATGGTGGCCTTCCTGAAGAGTGGTTCCGGATCATCTCGACCCTCGTAGAACTCTCGCACCAGCGGATGATCCATGTTCGGACGAATGGGCCAGGCCTTGTTCTCCTGGAGATAGATGATGCCAGCGAGAACGAGATAAGCCTGCTCAGCAGTCTCGGGACGGAGTTGATAGCCATGCGGAGGCATGTGTCCAAGTAACTCCCAGAGTGTCATCGGCATGTACGGAGCATGACATCCACTTCCAACATGATCACCAGTCCGACATAGCGCGCACTCCTGATCGCAATCGCGGAGGCTGTTGACGTGCTTTTGTTTCCAACAAGACATGCACTTGTTTGATTTGTTCATGAGATTCTTGCCGAACACCTTTTCGAACTGCATCATGTCGTAATAAGGACCGGCCGGAGGTAGGTAGTCTTGGATCGAACGAGACAAGACCTCGACAGGCTGGATGCGCGACTTCTCTACTCGTCCAGATCCGTCGCGGTTGATCTCCATGACGATGTTCGAGCTCGCCAACTCGTCGGCGTTAGGCAACCGATCTATCAAACGTTGTCAGCTAGGTACGACTTGCTAAAGACTGCTGTGTCACGTACAGTTGTACTTCTCGTAAGAGCCGTACCCGGTCGCAGATCGTGCGGCGGGCGGCTTTTTCGCATGTATCGCCTGGCTCAACAGATGAAACGACATCCTAATGGCGACTTGTGTAGACTATTCGAAGAATGGACCGGAAGGAAGGTGCCGTGCAGCGTATGGAAGTTGCGCGAAAGACTGGCGGCGAGAGGACACTGGTGCGCTATCGTTGAGAGCCAAAAGCTTTTGCACCGTGCGGAAAGGTCTGCGTTAGCGAGCGCGCCCTTTCACTGCGTTATGGTTTTTGATAGAGCGCTCTTTCACTCTCTTCGAACGTCGAGAAAAGTGACCGCGGGCGTCGGGTCATAGTCAGCCAGACAGGGCAGCAGACAGACATCAGGGCAATCAGGTACCCGTAGGAGCTACGCGAAATCAGCCCCTGTCCAGACCGCTTGGTTCGTCAGTTCAATATCGCTCTTTATCGTGGCCACACGACGATGTATCGATATATGACATTCATACATTGGACCAACCACGCGCGGGTGTAGTCACCTTGAACGACTTCCCTTAACCATCCGACTATCCTTCGAAAATCCCAGGGAAGCAATTCATGACATTAACGTATGAGGCCGCCAGGTAAATTCATAGCTTGACTACAAATTGATATCGGACTCGTGGCTACCTCACATGGAACTTTGACGGCACAACGTTATTCACGCATAAAACTCGCCAATGTCCGAAGACCTCGATTTTGCTATATGAGAAAAAGCAGCGCCATCACCCCAGCAAGTGTCGCGCGTCCTTATGCTCGCACGACACGCCGAGGTAAGGTCAACTACCCCGTCTTTCGAATCAGGATAGAGCCTTGAGTTGTATGTACACAGACGCGCGTCGCAATGATCGCTCATCGAAAAGCTAGCAACGAGTGTACGAATCCACTCGAAGCATGAAGCAAAGAAACGAAAGAGGAAGGTCTATAACTCTTCCTCAGTTCAGTCCATGAGGGCCCCACGGGACCTCCTCATCCTCCACCAGCGCTGAAGCTTCGTCGTCTTGGTCTTGTTGTACTTTGACATCTTCTTCTTGGATGTCATTGTCTTGTGCCCCTCCATTCTCAGCATCCTCGCCATCCGTAGCAGCTGCTGTATCCTGTACAGGAGGGGGCTGTGTGATCTTGTCCTCAGCGCCTCGCGTTGATGACGTAACTGGTGGCGATCTGAAGCCCTAGAGATGGGGGCGGCCTGCTGGGCTTTGTGGTGGTTGAGACGGGCATCCGCAAGCCATATGCGGCGATCGAAATCCTTGTCCACGTACACGTTCCATACTTTCGGATACGTGTGTAGCCAGTTCCGAATACCTTGGTCCATCGGATGGACCTCGCTGTAGGGATCCAGTTGCGCGGCCGCCAACTGTAGCCCGACCTTATGGATAAATCCTGCAGCTTGTCGGAATTCTTTGTCGTCTTTTTTTTGCTTTTCAGGGAATTCTTCATGAAGTCAGTAATGGAATCTTTGCGACCAGGCATTGACTTACGTCTATTGGTTGGCGTTGGATATACTGGGGCCTCATCGATCGTGGGCTCTGGGACGGAGAACTGGTTGAGGATGCCGTGCTGGTAGCCCGCGGTGGCCTGAGAGGCGCTGGGTTCCTCGGTTTTGAGGGCCATGAGAGCAGACAGAAAGTCGTCGAACCCTATCTGGTGGGGTGCTGGTGTGTTGTTGGTGGTATTTGGTTCATTTCGACCGAGATTCGCCATTGCTACGGCGTTGTTAGTATAGCACATGAACCTTTTGAAGGATATCTTACTTGTGGCGGTATCGTGATCAGTACAGAAACTTCATGGGTCCAAAGGTGGGTTTGTCTTTGCGTGCGCGCCAAGCGCGCTAGTGCAGATCTGACGACACTGGGTGCGTTGGCCGGGCTCTGGTCCTTCATATACGCTCGTGGAAGGAGCGGGGAATAACTTCATAGTTGACAAAAACTCACCCACTCAAGCCTCTTGCAATACGTTCGAGGTGAGCGAGTTAGTAGCGCCTTTTATGCAAGTGTCTTCACAGACATAGTAAAATCGGTTCTCCAATACATTGGTATCGTCTTCACTCTTGGTACTACAGTAAACTTTGCCTTCGCACCTACAATGACGCTTCTGTTTCACGTACGATGTAACACTTGTTCCGGGTATTGCTACTTGGATTTGCTAACCAGTGCACTCGCTGCATCGCTCCATGGCTACGGATAGCTTATACTCTTTCTGTTGGCAGAGCATTACACTGCTGACCAAATACTAAACCGAAACGTACTCCCCGTAGGTTTGCATTCTTCTCGGCCGGCTTTGTACCCATGTCTCATCGAGCGTACTTCCGGTCAAGGTCAATCACGTGCTGTCACAAGACTGATTCGTCGATTGGGTACCTAGCGAGTTGTGTTGCAGGACAAAACTCGGCATCATAGACAGCTGTCGGCGGAGATGAAAACTCCCTGTCACTTCCTTACACCGCTACGAAACAGATCTGTTGTGTGACCCTATCCGTCACACAAGCGATGCCACGCCTTCTTCCGCGAGATCGCACCGCATACATTGCCTTCCGATCCATCAAGTCCTTCCAATTATGCTCTTCATGCTCAGGGTCTCGTCAAATCAGAGCGTGAACCGTTCAGGCACGACCGCACGGACACACTACGAGTCGTTGGGAGAACGCATTACGATCCTTGGCAGTCTATCAAGTTGAATGGAACCTCTAGACCAGTATACACCTGCCAGCATCTAGTCGGCGCCTGTAAGTTGAGTTGATCTTGGTCTATCTACTGGACCGGCACGATTCACGTCTGTAACCGTCGTGACCCACGGCAAGGCTGAGTTGCGAGGAGGACGCTTCGACCCATCGGACAATCTCGAATCCAGATTTTACGTAGGCCCAATGCTCTCCTGTATACACCGTAGGAACTTTCCAATAAGGCTCTGCTGCTGTAATAAATAGTGGCTTTAACCCACGCTTCCATGTCATTCACCTCCCTCACGACCCACGATCTTGACAAATCATCGCTCCTTACATCAATCCTAACACCATGCCTCCACTGACGGCCGAGGGCATCATCGCTATCGTGGCCGCTGTTACAGCATGCTCTCCATCCTTCTTCATCATCGGTCGTCTCATTAGACGCCACTACCACAACAATCGTGACAATCAACGCGAGAGCCAGGGTAAGCGCACTCGGAAGGTCTCTGATGATCTGACACCTCACTGATCCTTATTGTAGATATCGAGCTCGCCACGCAGATCAACAGAGACTTCCCGATGGTCCAGCATGCGAAGCACACGATCCCCTGACCCGTGCCCGCACATCTCCCTACGCGATAAGCGGAACAGGCCTTAACGAACAGCGAAGATCAACATTACATCCCAGATTTCATATCGACATCATAAACTTCTCGATTCAAGACATTACAAGCTCACGCCTACATGTATACCATAGACTTATAAAGACAATGTTGCTTCACGACATTCAATATTAAACCCCTATCTCTACGCCAGAACACCACATCCCAGCATACTAAAGACATTCTTCCACCTGACACTCCACCACGGCCTCTCTCTGGCGTCTTCATCGCTTTCCAATGTGCTAGCATCATCGTCCGCACTATCCCCCTCCACACCCTCATCCCCAACAACCAACTCATCAACAACACCAAACTCCTCACCTCCAACACACATCCACCTCTCCTGCACCCTCTCCTCAACCCCCACCTTCCGCCCATTCCCATGCCAAAACGGCTTCCCTTTCCTCCCCTCCTCCTTGCCTTCTCCTTCAGTCCCCTTGATACCATCCACGTCTTCGGTGCCGCTGCCCGGACGGATCCAAGGCCCAGTCACACCGAACATCGCCGCGGCTTGACGGATGCCTTCGTCGCGGTAGCCGTACCACTCCCGTCCTTCTTCTATGATCGTGCACGAGGGGGTTGGTTGGGCGGATGGTGTACTTCCATTTGAGTCTCTGGAGATCTGACGTTGCCGTTGTTCCAAGACGAACTCAGGAAGCGGCGTAGCGAAAATCGAGATGTCATTTTTCGGTTTGCGGACTACAGTGTCTATTTCCGCTGCGGGTGGCTTTGTATGAGGTAGGCTGGAGTATACCGACATACTCTCCGCTTCAGATATATCCGACGCAAATCCCAGTTTACCGCCTACACCGCCACTCCCCGCTCCGCACACCTCCTTACGCGGTAGCCTGGAGACCACCGCCATATCTGCCGATGAGGATATATTCGATGGATATTTTTGGTCGCCAAATACAAAGTCGAACATATCTTCAGATGACTCCGCAAGAGGCAGGTTGGCGTAGATGGAGGTGCTGCGGCCGCGCCAGCAGTGGGATGTTGCTGTTGAGCCCATGGCTACGGTGGAGTGGGTGGTGGTGGGATGTGTGGTGTGTGGTGTGGTGGCTTTGTATACTCCAGGGGTTCTGGAGAGGTTTTGAAGTGAAGGCTTTTGTGTGAATGTAGATGTGAATGTGTTTTGGGATGGATGATGTGAACTTGTGCATTGTTCCCTCTAGTTTTATATAAATCTGAAATTGATGAAAAGTTATCGTTTGAAGCATACCATGGTTCTGCGACGAAAGAGGGTGGATACAAAGTAATACCAAGACCACTCACGGCGTATCCAAACATCACCCACACAAGAAGATACTCGCGATTCCATCAAGTCAGCGACCTTGCGATCCTCATTGTCAAGCTCATACCACAATTCACCCTACCCGCGCCCCACATGACCAACAACAACACGACACATGCAGTTAACAAAATAGTATTCCACTTTCTCGTTCCACTCTTCTTCCAATCCATCTCTTACTTTGGAACATAAAACGCGACTGATATCTCGCTTTTGACTTTTCCGTCGATGGAAACCAAGTTGCATGCGTGCAACCTACCAAACATATGCTAAGCTAACAAGAAAAACGCCGGTACCGACCCGACCCAAGAATATACACAACGAATGAAGTTACACGGGAATCAAACAACTCTGACAAAGAGGGAACAAGTCTTAACGACCCGATCGCTCCTTAGTTTGCTTTCTGCGGTCCTTGATAGTTTCTGCGATTACGTTAGCACTAGTCACTACACCACGAAATTCGATATCACTTACTCTCGTCGTAAATCATAAACTCGTGCAGCGCACTTCCGGCTGGTACCATAGGCAGCACAGGTACCTTCTGGTCGGTAACAACCTCCAGCAGAGCCGGGCCATCACTTTCCAACAGCCACTTGAGGCTGTCTTCCAGCTCCTCAGGCTTAATGCAGCGCTTGGCCTGTACACCCATGGCATCACCGAGCTTAACAAAGTCAGCGTTGCGCTGATGGGTATGCGCGAAGCGGTCGGTGTAGAAGAGAGTTTGCCATTGTGTGACCATGCCCTGCTCCTCGTTGTTGAGAATGATGATCTTGACGCCAATGTTGAACTCGGCGGCGGTGGAGAGTTCTGTCAGCGTCATGCTGAAGGAGGAGTCGCCGTCAATGTCGATGACGGTGCACTCTGGGCGCGCGACCTTGGCGCCGATGGCGGCGGGGAGACCGTAGCCCATGGTTCCTAAACCGCCGGATGTGATCATGGTGCGTGGGTATCGCCAGCGGTAGTGCTGGGCGCACCACATTTGATGTTGGCCGACACCGGTGGTGAGAATGGTTTCCTCTTTGCGGTGGGCTGTGAGGTCGGAGAGCTTCTCCATGACGGTCTGCGGCTTGATGAGGCCGTTCTCGCCCTCCTTCTCGTAGGCCCATGGGAAACGCTCCTTCCAGGCGGCAATCTGTCCGAGCCACTCAGGTCTCTCGGGAACCTCGTTGACGAGAGGTAGGAGCTGCTTCAGGTTCGTACCGAGATCACCCTCGACAGCCTCGGTCGCCTGCACGACCTTGTTGATGTTCTTGGGCATGATCTCGAAGTGGATGATACCACCACGACCCTCAGCCGCTGCTGCCTTTGCCGCGGGCGCGAACTTGGAGATGGTACCAGTGATACGGTCATCGAAGCGAGCACCGAGAGCGAGAATCAGATCGGCTTCCTGCATGGCCATGTTGGCGTAGGCCGAGCCGTGCATACCGAGCATGTGGAGGGACTTGGGCTCAAGCTCGTCGTATCCTCCCAGGCCTTGCAGGGTGGTGGTTACGGGAATGTTGACCTTGTCAGAGAGCTCCTTCAGGAGCTGGGGTCCGTTCTCGGTCTGGAGGATACCCTGTCCAGCGTAGATGACGGGCTTCTTCGCCATGTTGATCAAGTCGGCGGAGCGGCGGATGGAGTGGTCCAGCTGCTGCTTGCTAAGCTCGCGCGCGGCGATGGTCGCAGCGCTGACGGTGGTGGGGAGGGTGCTGCTCATGGGAATAGCTCTTTGGAGAACACTGGCAGTGACATCCTTGGGCAAGTCGACGAGAACGGGTCCTGGGCGTCCGCTAGTCGCAATCTCGAAAGCCTCGTTGATTCTCCGCGGAAGTTCCGCAACGTTCTTGACGAGGACATTCCACTTTGTGCAGGGCCTTGTAATGCCGACCATGTCAGCTTCCTGGAAAGCATCGGAGCCAATTGCGCTGGTAACGACCTGACCGCAGAAGACAACCAGGGGTGTTCCGTCCATCAGGGCATCCTGCATGGGTGTGACGACGTTGGTGGCACCGGGTCCAGAGGTAACGAGCACAACACCGGGCTTTCCACTCGCGCGGGCGTAACCCTCTGCCATGTGGCCGGCACCCTGTTCATGGCGTGGCAGAATAAAGTCGAAGTGTTTTGACTGGTAGATCGCATCGAAGACGGGAAGAATCGCACCACCGGGGTAGCCGACTGGGAGGTGTTAGTACTCAGTACTTGAAGTTTGGTGCATGCAGTTCATGTAAGCATGTAAGATGTGTCATACAGATGTGCTTGACGCCCTGGCGGAGCATCATCTCGTGGAAGATCTCTCCACCGGTCATGCCAACAAACGAGTGGTCCATTGCAGGCGAGCGGTACGGCTTCAGCGGCTGGACATCCTTGTGGTCCTCACGGTTGAAGGCGGGCGACGGTCTTGAGCGCGGTTGTGTTTGTGGGGCCGCCGCCTGGGTGCTCTGCGGTCGCTTCGCATCTTCCTGGGTGATTTTACTCGAGACGGCCTGCGCGGGCCTGCGGAAAGGTGAGACGGCGAGTCGCTGTGTGGAGGTGGAAAAGTTGCGGTTGCCCTTGAGAGCATTTACAGCTCGTGTGCGTGACTGCTGCATGGCGATTATGACGTCCACTCAGGACGGTGTATTAATAACGCACAGAGGGGAGATTCGGCAAAAGCAAGAGCGACGTGGGAGAGAGAGTGGGAGGAAAGTGGAAGCTGACGGACGGTTTTGAGTCAATTGGCCGTTCGCCTTTGAGTCTTCGTCGGGCCCAGGTTCGTGGCGCATATGAAAAGTTAGTGGAGTCGTTTGGCCCCGGTGGCAGGGGTCTTGATTGGGCGATCCCCGCAATTCGAAAGAGTGCTGCCGAACATCGGAGCGCTGTGACAGCCGTCTTAGTCGGTGGGAACACCATAGACACGATGCAAGTTCCCCCTGGACGAGGCCATGGGCGCGCTGCCTCGGGCGACGAGCGACGGCGAAGTGTGTTGATTGCTCTTCACGTGTGCTCTGGCATGACTAATCGAGAGAACAGCCGCCCTGACGCGCCGTACGACAAAGGGTCCACTCGACGCCGATGACATCGTTATAGACGAGTATGCGCCCAGTTTATTCAGCCGGCAGATGATACGGATACAAGACACGCGCTTACACAATGATGCAGCCCTCTCGCTGAGAGTACCGCCACCCTGCCTGCGCGCGTTCGGTCGCCAGCACGGCCTCAACCTTCCCCGCAGCCGTCGTATGAGGGCCCAACACGCGGCATCGACGACATCCCCCACAAGGACTTCAGCTTCCTCCAGGACCCGCAGGCATATCACGTCTTGCCAGTTACCAGTGTCCCGCCTCCGTTCCTCAATGCGCCGCATGCCCCGCCGATATCCTCGCCCATAGACACACTTCTCCTATCAGGCCATTACCGTCTCGCCGCCATCGCCGCAGCACGCAACCTCATCTCCGCTGCTCCAGGCGACCACGACACCCTACTACACCTCATCCACGTACGTCTAGCATGCCTCTGTCTACTCCAAGAACACGCGCTCGCCGCGCAGGAATCCAAAGTTTTGGGTGACCTCAACAGCGCCTTCTACCGCCACCCCCTCACAAACGCACACCTCGTACCCTGGGATCTTCGCCTCCTTGTCGTACGACTAGCTGCATTGGGGTATGGAGAATGGCGCAAGGGCATAATGGGGTACTACGAACTCGCACGCGAATGCAGGGAGAGCATCCTCAAAGCAGGTTCGGATGAGGATAAAGCGACCTGGCGATCGCGGCTACGAGACTGCGGTATTCGTGTTGCGAATGTGTTGGTGGAAATGGGCGATTTCGAGGGCGCAGGGAGACATCTAGCAACCCTCGCTGCGGACGGCGATCAGACACGGGAGATATCGCTTATGGAGACACTCGTCTGGCTCAGAGTCGGAGACATGGCATCGGCACGCCGTTGTCTCGCCCGCGCATCCTCCGCCTCAGCCGACGCCCTCGTAGACGGCACGCTGAACGCGCTCATCCAGCTCGCCGACTCCGACTACGCCGCCGCTGCCGAATCTTTCCAAGCCCTCCACGAAGAGTTCCCTGAAGATGCAATGGTAGCGCAGAATCTGGCTGTGTGTCTGCTCTATACGGGTCGGATATCGGATGCCAGAGACATACTCAGTCAGCTGGTAGACGATAGTTCGCCTTTCCACTCGCTGGTGTTGAACCTGAGTACGGTGTATGAGTTGTGTACGGAGAGGAATAGGGAGAAGAAACTTGGGCTGGCGGAGAGATTGGCAGGACGGAGGGATGGGGGTGGAGTGGGTTGGGAGCGTAGTAATGCCGAGTTCAAGCTGTAGAAGTAGGAAATTTAACAGGATGGGAAAGAAGGTGGATGTGTCTGTGTCTTCTCATCAACTAGGCGGTCGCCTCAAGGCCAGAATGTCGCACAATTTGACATTCCCTTTACCACCCCAACCTGCAGCTCCTTGAGCTACTTCTGGTCGAACGCGAACATACCAGCCCCAAGCGCGCTTATCCAGGTCCTCTTTACTCAATACTTTTGCCCATGACCCATACAGGAGTTCCAGTGCGCCCAGCAAAAGCCCTAGATTCCGCTCTTTCTCCGCTGCAATGGTAGCAGCTGTTCGCTTCCCCTTCGGTTTTGATGCTGGCGCTCCCTCGACCTTGACATCAACATCTCTATCTTCCTTCTTGACTAACTCCGCAGCGGGTGTCTCAAACGCTCTCAAAAGGTACGCCCTTGCGCTCTGCGCAGTGTAAATAGGCAGATTACTCGAGCCAACCCTCGAGTTTTGTGCCTTCTTCAAGGCCTCAAGGTCCACGCCCCAGAGCGCCGGTTCCCTCGACTCGTCCTCTTTCTCCTCACCTCCCTCAGACTTCACAGTCTTCTGCGCCGCCTCATCTTTCCACTCATACCCCCACCTCTTCATCACCCTCACCTCCCTTGTCATGATCCGTACCAGCGGCTGCCCCTCACCCCAGCCTTCTTCTTCCGCCGGCTTCCCTTTCTCCAGACCAATATTGACGGCTTTCGTCTTACTGTTCATAGAGGTCACGGCTTGTGCTAGGCTCAGGCGACTGGATATAGGTTGGCTTGGCATCGTGAACTTGAGCAGCGTCACTGCGAAAGCGAGGACAAGTGGTGCGCGATTCGTATAGACAACAGATGAGCCAAGTATGTCCTCATCTAACTCAGGTTCTGGCAGCGCGAGCGAAGCCTCGAGATCCGCGCCGTTCAGAGGTTGGCCATAGGTTGCCTTAGCTTTCTTTGACGCAGGCGCAGGTGTAGCAGAGGAAGCATCTGCGGTGCGCTTTTTAGACTGTCGTTTGGCGGCATTGAGAACCGAGCGCGCGACTTTCTCGTCGGCGAAGATGGTTTTGAGGGTTTCGTGGGAGGACTTGGATATATCGGATGGACTGCATGGTTGTCAGTAGGGAAATGACGCGGTGGTACGCTGTCACGTGCTTACGTGATGAGGTTCGCTGCTTGGAGGTCTTTGATTTTGGATAGAGCTTGGGCGAGGGGGACCTTGGCGTCTTGCGATAGGAAGCGCAGGAGCGATTGAACGTCTTGTGCCGAGGTCATGGTGATTTGTCTGGTTTCCGTGGTACTGTGGCCGTGGCATGACGTTGTTAGAGATTCCTGGGGCCGTGGGCAGGATGCAGGCTATCTAACTAAGGGCGCGCTAAGATATAGTATACTAAAGCATCTATGCGTAGTTAATACGTACGCTAAAATAGCGCTTTAGTAAATTAATTATAAATTATTTTTAGAATAATTTTACTTAAATAATAATAATATAACTCTACTAAACTTTTCTACTAAACTATACTACTTATAATAGCTTACTAAATTTAAAGTATTTTTTAAGAAAATATATAAACTATTTCTAAATTAATTTATAAATAATTTTAATAAATTTAGCTTACTTATAAGTAATTTCTTTAGCTTAACTAATACTTATTTAAGTATCTACTTTTTACTACTAATATATAGAATAAGCTAATTATCTATATAAGTTAGCTATACTACTATATTAAAATCTAAGATAAAATTCTTTATAAAGTATAAACTATTCTTAAATTATTTTTTAATTATTTCTAATATTTCTTTTAGTAGAAGTATACTAGTTACGCTACGCTTAAAAACTACTTATACTAAGCTTACTAGCTAAGAATAGTATTTACTAAGTAAGTTAGAAATTTTACTAATACTTTAATCTAAGCTAAGATAAGTAAGTTTATTTAAATTACTTCTTAATTAATTCTTAATTAATTTAACCTAAGTTTTTATATTTAGACTATAGCTACTTATAATACTATTACTAACTTTTTTACTATCTTTTCTACTAACTCTTCTACTTCTTCTACTAACTTAGCCTTTATATAGCTTTTTACTTAAATAGAATTTAATAATAAGTTTAAGTTAAATTATTTATTAAGTAATTTAAACTATAAGTTAGATTAATTAGTAAATAATTTAAACTATAATAATTTTAAAAACTCTACTACTATACTAGATAATAAAGAAAAGAAGAAAAACTAAAAAGACTAGAAATACTCTCTCTAAAATATTATCTAGATTAATAATTTAGAAAGAGAATAAGTAAATTATTTCTAACTTTTATAGCTTAACTTTACTACTATAACTAATATAGTTAGAGACTATTATAATAATTAGACTAAAGATAACCTTCTCTACTAGGCGTATAATATTAATAGTCTAAATATAGACTTTATTTATAGTAAGTTTTATTTAGATTATTTCTAGAATAATTTAGAATTATTTCTAATAAATTTAGACTATACCTTCTTCTAGAATAAAGAGAATAAGTATAAATCTTATTAGTTCTTTTTAGACTTTTCTTCTAAGTATATACTTACTCTCTTTAAAAGTAGTAGTTTTAGTAGGTAGTTAAGTACTATTTCTAAGTAAATTATTTCTAAAATAGTTTAGAATTAATTTAGTATAAAAAGATATATATTAGAAATAAAATAAATAAATATTATATAACTCTCTCTTTACTATATACTTTATAAATAAGTACTATTATTATATTATTAATAAGAATAATATACTATATCTTACTTAGTAGAATATACTAAGTAAAATATAGTTAATTATAAAGTATTTTTTATTTAAGTTTATAAACTTTACTTAGCT